CCCGCCTCGGCCTCCCAAAGTGCTGGGATTACAGGCGTGAGCCACCGCCCCCGGCTTTTTTTTTTTTTTTTTAAAATGGGGATAAAAATACTTTCAGGCTGTTGTAGGGATTCATTGACTATGCTAAGCATTTTATCATAATACCTGGCTCCCTGAGTTTGATGCCACTGAAATTTAGACATCAAACTCAACCTCTCTATCAAGCTCTTCATCCAAAGAGACTAGGGGTAAAAACTGTCTAAGACTATACAGAAATATCATGTATCTGAGGAATTAAAAATAGTGCATAAGAGAAAGAAAAAAATAGTGCATAAGATTTGGCAATGTGAGTGTCATTGGATAAACTCAACAAACTTATTATCGAGGCAAAAAATATATACACAAAAAATAAAAACTGGGTTCAAAAAAACTTTTTTTTCTATGGACTTTTAAGTGATTAATTTATAGAGGGGTTAGGATCTTCAGTTTTCCTTTGGAAGTAAGTTAATAAAAACCCCTTTAGAGAAAAACAAGATTGACTAGGAAGAATGTGAAAACTGCTTTTCCTCTCAGGGGTCATACTGTACAGCTCTAAACATTAATCACTCAATTCAGTCACTGTCTTTTCTATTTCCTTGTATTCTGTCATACAACTGTCTCGGTTTACCTCTTTTTCTGCTTGTCTTCTCTCTCTCTTCTCCTGGTTTATTTTCATCCACATGTGGATTTTCCCCAACATCTTATTCTTTTCTCCTCCTCTGTGTATATGCTACTGAGGTTAAGATTGCCACATTCAAACTTCCTAACCCAAAAGTTTGTAGGAGAGAGTAAATGATTAAAGGTGCCACAAGGAGAAAACAAATAGGTTGAAGAATAAAAGACGTCACTGGATTTAGGCAATTAGGATGTCACTGAGTGAGCAATCCAAGGTTTTTGAATAGGATAGTGATGCACTTTTGGAATAACTCTGGCAAGCTCTGTGAAGAATGCCTTAAAGCCAGAAAATGTTAACAATAGTATCTTTATTTTTCAATTTTTTTTTTGAGAGGAGCTTCACTCTCATTGCCCAGGCTGGGGTGCAATGGCACCATCTAGGCTCACCACAAACTCCACCTCATGGGTTCAACTGAATCTCCTGCCTCAGCCTCCCCAGTAGCCGGGATTACAGGCATGTGCCACCATGCCTGGTTAATTTTTGTATTTTTAGTAAAGACGGGTTTTCTCCATGTTGGTCAGGCTGATCTCGAACTCCCGACTTCGGGTGATCCGCCCTCCTCGGCCTCCCAAAGTGCTGGGATTACAGGCGTGAGCTACTGCGCCCGACCAACAATATCTTAGTAGACATTGGGAATTATGGATGTCGTTATGTAACCCTAAAATTTTAATGTCATCAAGTTCCTAATGTTTCATTTTGTCACTCCAGGTACTTCTCAGCAAATATTCCCTCTTTAGGCATATCTCCTGGCGCCTCTCCAATAACCTGTTCTTCCCTGCTTCTATAAACGTTCAGGCTGCTCTCTGCCGATAAAAACTGCTCAACCCAATTCCACCTGTGAAAACCTCAAGGTCCTCTGTAGCCTACTCTCAACTCCCAAACACCATGAATCTTCCCTAAGTAATCAGTAGGTAAGTTATCAGAGCTGAGACCGACCCTGACTCGTCTTTACACCTCCTCCCCACCTCCTCCCATTGCCCCACCCCCACTCCCATTTCACAGTATCTCACCCATTGTTTACCACTCCGACCGCAGAATCGAAAGATCTGGAGCAGGGAAGGAAAAAAAGGCGCCTACCAGATGCCTGGAACAGTCTACTAGGCGCTACGAGAACATTAGCTCTTTCAATGCTCACAACAGCCCAGCCAGATGTTATCTCATCTTACAACAGAATAAATTTAAGACCTCTGGCTGGACACTACAGGCTGGCGAAGGACATGACCTTTGATCAGAATCTCATGGAGGAGTGGGGTCCCTGACCATTGTCTCTTCCAGAGAACCTTAAAACTGAGACCCCAGGAGACCCTCTCGGATACTCTGCAGGAGTCAGAGTCACAATATTAGCAAGCACATCGCAGCCCTGCGAACTCTTTCTGGCTCAACTCTCGACAGAAGAAATCAAGCCCCAATCAAAATACAACATATTAGGCCTATCACCCTCTCCCCCGGCCCCAAAATTCTCAGGGGAAATCCCCTAAGAGTCAGGTAGGGAGGTCACTGCAGCGACTTCAGGGTGCAGAGATCGCGAGGAACTAGAGGACGCTCCAGCCCACCTGGGCGTCTCTGATTGGCCGCCAGCTCAGCTTGGAACGCTGGGGTGTATGGCGTCATATCCGCCGGGCCCGCCATCTTGTTCCCAGGGGCAGTTGGCGGAAGAGATCGAGCTCTCTGGCCGCCGGCTCGCCTTCTCGGTGGAGTTCTCGCGGTCTGCGTTTCGCTGTCTGCTCTCGGCCCGGGGTGCTTTTGTCGGCGTCCCGCTTACCCTCCCTTACCCGGCTGGGGCACAGTGAGGCGGCCCCTTCTCCCGACGACGTTCCATGGAGTAGGGTCCCGGACCGTTGTCCCGAAGAGCGAGATCGAGCTTGGCCCCCTCCCCCCCCTCCTTCCCTCCCTCCTTCCTTCCGCCGCAACATGGCTAACAACAGCCCCGCGCTGACAGGCAACTCGCAGCCGCAGCACCAGGCGGCCGCTGCCGCGGCTCAGCAACAGCAGCAGTGCGGCGGCGGCGGCGCCACCAAGCCAGCGGTCTCGGGCAAGCAGGGCAATGTGCTCCCGCTGTGGGGCAACGAGAAGACCATGAACCTCAACCCCATGATCCTAACCAACATCCTGTCGTCGCCTTACTTCAAAGTACAGCTCTACGAGCTCAAGACCTACCACGAGGTGGTGGACGAGATCTACTTTAAGGTACGAAGCGTGTAGGCCTTGGGCTTGGGGGTAAGTTCAGAAGAGGGGGTATGGAAGGAAACGGGCGGAGGCGGCCCCTGAAATCTGAAGATTTGTGGGTGGGGGAAGGTGGTTCGGCGAGGTGGGAGCTGCGGCCTGTAGTCTTGTTTGGGAGGGGTCGGACTGGGGCCGCCCTCTCGTTTCCATTTTAGATTTTTAGGGCCGGGAGAGCCCGCCACTATTGATCTCTCTCCTCCCTCAACCTCCTGCCCACCCTTGGGGGGAGTTGGGCAGGTGGGGTCGGGGAGAGGAAGAAAGAGTAACAGAAACCTTTCCAGTTTACAGCTTTAAAATTATTCCTTTTGACGTGGATCTACTGAGCGCCAACTTGTTGGTGCTTCTCCCGCTCACCCCTGGCCAGGGCGTGTAATGACTTCAGTGTTGGCCTCGTGTTGTTGGTACTCACTATCCGATCCAGACAGGGAAATGGTCAGTGCGTGTGTGTCGGGTGGGGTGGGGGGGATGAGGGTGGAGAGGTGCCATTTCTAGAGGTGTACAGAAGGCCTGGAAATTTTCCCAGCAGGAAGTCAGGAGTAAGAGGTCTCAGCCACCTGTGCATTGGGCTTATTTAGAATTATCTGGGCCCTGGGCTTCTGCGGCAGGGTCGGTGCTGGCTTGGCTGTGCTGGGGAGCTCACCTGGCGCCTCCTCACTGCACTCTTGTCTCAGTTCTTGTTTCGTTAGCAGGATTGACTCAGTCTTGCAGCGAGGCTCGGAGCAGCCCAGGGTCGCAGGTAGAGGTATGCACTATTAATCATGCTCAATCGCCATAAATGCATTTCCCTGGTTAAATGAACGGCTAGATTTTTTTTTTTTTTTTGGCCATTGCTTTTGGTCTTTTCGACAATTAGGTAGGCTTTTTCCACTTCCCTGCAAATTATGTAGTATAAAAAATATCTTCCAGGCCTCCGAAGGTTAATTTCTATTTTAAAGAATATTAATAATAGCCTTAGTGGTCTTTAAATATTTTATCTGGAGTGTCTAATATACAGTCCATTTGTCTATATTGATTCTTAAAAACTTGACAGATCACACAAAGTGTTTTCTGTCGTTGGAACGTATTAGTGTAGAGACGTTAACAAAAGGACATTCTCTTTTGTTTTGCCCACCTTTTCCTCCCAGTTAAGTAATTAGGTTATTGAAGGATTTTGAGAGATTAGTTGCTTTTTATAGAAAACATCTTGAGGAATACAGTTCAACTTTGGGTCTATAAAGTACACAAAGAAATTTGGAATCCTCTTTCTAGAGTCTATAGTAGGTCTGATTGTAATTCTACGAATTAGTTTTTTTAGTTTTTAAAAGGTAAGACCTTTTTAACATGAATACAGTGTGGTGAATAACATTTAATCCTTAGCTTTATTTATTCAGTAAACTTTAAACAGTTGAAAATTGGTTCCTGCTCTTCTTGCGGCAGGTTCTGTTTTCTAACATAGACAAAATGTTAATGTAATAGAGAAAAGACTCGGTTTTAAGTTTCAAATGTGTTTTGAAACAACATTCTACCAGGAATTGTTTTTAAATTCCGTTAAAAAACTAAAGACCCAGCTTTTTATTAATGTCATCAAGACATTCAGATTAAATACTCACTGAAATATGTAGGTTTCCAACTTTGTATTGCATCCAGCCCTGACTTTGGCTAGCCTTTGAGGAGTGGAAACATCTTTTACATAAGCAGTCTGTGGGGAGGAAAGGAGACGCTAAAGCACTGCAAAATAGTGTAGTGCTTAAACTTAAATGCATGCTGTTCTATCTAAAGCCATTGTTCAGGACTACAAAATGTTACCGCCTGTGGGTGGAAATAGTTTTAGAAATACCTAGTGAAAAAAATGGGATTTTTTTTTTTGTTTTAAAAAAAAAAAACCAAGATGGATCTTCCCAAAAGACCTTCTTGGATTCTTTTTAGAGCTAATATTCTTTTGTTGTTGTTGTTGTTGTTGTTGCTATTTTTAGATAAGGAATGGTTTTTATAAGATGTTCCACTTAGCAAATATGATACTGTGTATGCCAGTGATAAATGCCAGTGACTAGTCACACTCAGTTTTTGACAAGAATTTATACTCTGGGGAATAATTGGATTGGTTCACATATAATAAGGCTGAAGCTTAAGTATCACAATGATTTCTGTAAATGTGGCCTTTGTAATTTTATCTTTAATCAGGAATAAACCTGATCCTGGTGGACAAAATGTACAAATAAAAAGTTCTATAATTTTGCATCACAAGTAACTCATCACTGTTTTAGCAATTTTTTTCAAGTAATTTTCCTTAATTTTATAATGTACATTTTAAATTACAGTAAATTTGAACTATTGAAGACATTTTGAAGTTTTTCAAATTAATGCTTAAACTTCATTAATACTTTTTGCTTTAAATTGGAGATCTAAATCCGTTTTTCAAGGAAAATATTTTAAAAGCAACTCATAAGGTACAAAGTTAAAATATTATCAAAATAGTTTTTGCAACCAAGCGAGACTATAGAAATTTTCTGACTCCCAGATATAGATATCGGCTCTTTATAAAGCTAGTTTAGTGGGAGTTCTCCTCTGCAAAGCTATTAAAGTGTAGCTTTATGGGTGGTGTTTAAATGTCTTAAGTAGTTTTTCCAAAAATGATTTACACACTTGATGTCCGTAAACATATTATATACTTAATGACAAAATAATTTTGGAAGAGCTGCTCTGTTATGGACTTGGGTTTACTTTTATCAGGCTTTTAAACGAATTCAAAGTATGAGTGTTTGTTGTGTTCCTCTTTTCTATTTTCAGGTCACGCACGTTGAACCATGGGAGAAAGGAAGCAGGAAAACAGCAGGCCAGACAGGGATGTGCGGAGGGGTAAGTAGAAGTACGTGCATTTTTCAGTTTTTCTGTGTCTGATAACTGTGTTTATATTTGGAAAACTAGAGGCCTGTCAAGTACACACTTAACTGACACTTGTTTAAATCTGAATTCAAGTGTTCAGTGAAATAGGATTAGAAAAATGTTACTTTTTAATGCTTCTTTCTTAGTTTTGGATTATGGCTTGTTATTAATACCTAACAGGATTAATCAATTGGTATTAAGTGTCTGTTAATTATTTTACTACTTTTTCTTGACTCTTTCCCCTAAAGGTTCGAGGTGTTGGAACAGGAGGAATTGTTTCTACAGCATTTTGCCTGTTATACAAATTATTTACCCTCAAGTTAACCCGAAAGCAAGTGATGGGTCTTATAACACACACAGACTCTCCATATATTAGAGCGCTTGGATTTATGTATATAAGGTGAGCGTGCATTTATGTATATGTCCAGTAAATACCTCATTTTAATTTACATACGTTTAATAATAGTCTTTTGTAATTCTAGATATACACAGCCCCCTACAGATCTATGGGACTGGTTTGAATCCTTCCTTGATGATGAAGAGGTATGTCAAAAAGGGTAATAATTTATTTTCGTCTGATTATGCTCATTTTTTCTTATCTTTTATTTATTGGTGGTTTAATGTCTTCAAGAATTTCCTGCAGTTAAATATTTCAGTCAGATACTTTTGGAATTAATGTCCATTTCCTGAGACCTGATGGCTTTTGTGTATTTTAGGGTAAATTTCTGAAGTTTTATTTTCTTGTTTTTAAATTGTTTAAATGTATTTGGTAACTATTGGAAAATTTTCTCTTCTTAATTATGTTCTGTGTATTGTATTGATCCTGAATTGTATAGTTGTTAGTGACTTTTCAAGATGGGTCATGCTCAAGACTGAGGCGATAAAAGACATGCACATAGAATACTAACTGCAGCTTTTTTTTTTTTCTTCTGTAAGATTTCAGTTCTTCACCCTCTAACTTCTCCCAAGTATCAGTATTCCCACTTGCATAGAAATGCAGAATTGAAGAGCTGGGTGTTACATAAATAGGCTAAGTGTTTGGATGACTTGTTCAAGGTGACAAAATTTTAATTCCAGCTTTCTGACTCCTAGTACACTACACATATATTTTAAAATTTTTTTAATTGGAATTTGAGTCTCCCTAATCTGAAATATTGTTAGATTTAAAATCATATATGCATGCGTGTACTAGGAAAGAATAATACAAAATAAATCATGTATGCATTGACTGGGCATGGTGGCTCACCCTTGTAATCCCAACACTTTGAGAGTTCAAGACCAGCCTGAGCAATATAGTGAGACCTCATCTCTACAGAAAAAAAGTTTAAAAATTAGCTGAGCATACAGGCATACATCTTAGTCCCAGCTACTTGGGAGGCTGGGGTGGGAGGATCACTTGAGCCCAGGAGGCAGAATTTGCAGTGAGCCTAAATTATTGCCACTGCACTCCAGCCTGGGCAACAGAGTAAGACCCTTTCTCAAAACAAAACAATATCATATATGCGTTAATTTACTTACATAGTGAAGTCCAACATCTCAAAGTATACTCAATAATGAAATAATGAGCTGTATTATCCATATATCTGCCCAGTCTGCTACTTTGTGTTTTAAGGTTCATAAAGCAGACCTTGAGTGCTATGTGTCGTAGTCTATTTACAGAGTTCATCCAAAGAGTTTATTGAATTAAAGGATGGTTCTAATGGAAATGTATTTTGTCATTACATGCACACCTAAAAAAAAATCTCACTCATTTAGACACAGAGAATTTTTATTTTTCTCTACCTTTTTTTTTGCCTGTTAACTGAGTTAATAACTCAGAAGAAGTAAAATGTGTTTTAAATCACAATCTTTAGGGCCTTTTTATCTTTAGATGGGTTTTTCAGACTGACTGAAGCACTTCTGTTTTTCAAAAAGCATGTTCCTCTTCATAATTGGTATTGTATTGGTTTTGTTTTTAGATGACTCTATTTTATGTTTTTTATTGTGTTTACAAACCTGAGGTCCTCTGTTTAAGCTAACTTATTGTTTTCTTCCTTAGATATCTGCAGCGATTATATTTGGAAATACTGTATATCTGAACACTTAAATGTGTGTGAGTGCAAGCAGTTTTACCTTTAGCTCTTGTTTTCCTGTTTAGATAACAAATCTCACTTTCCTTGTGTGCTTGCACTATAGGTTTGGGACTGACAATAGCTGACTAACATGTCCTGAGCTGTGAGAGGGCATAGCAAGAAGGCCTTCATGCGGTAATGACCCTTTTCAGAGACAATGGTCATCATGGATTATGCGTTTCCAATTATTTGTTCATTTATTTATTTTCTACATAACTAAATTAGAAACCTCACTGCTTCATGGCAGTTGGTTTGCTATTGCTTCCAGTTTTGTTAGGGCTTCATTTTATATTAGAGCTGTTAAAAGATAACCTTTAGACAGGAATTACCTAAAGTAGATCATATGTAGCTAGGTGATGGTGCTAGGTGTATGATGTGTGCAAATATGTCCACAGAAATAAATACGTAGTAGGTATGTGGAATGTAAATTTAAGTCAATCATTCCACATAGTTTAGAAATGTAAGGGGCTTTTTCATATTATTAACTGAGCGAGATCAATTCCCTTTATGCCCATGCGGCTGCAGGATTTGTTCTCACCTGCATGCACACACGAAGCCCAAATATTTCTGTTCATTCATTGCCAGATTAGGATCTGAAAATAAAATTTTTCCGTTAGAATTTTTTTGTATTGAGAATCCAAAGATGGTAATATTTTTATAGTATTCATGTGTATATAGAAATACATTTTTGACGGCTAGGACATCTTTTGTGTTTCTGTAGGACCTAGATGTGAAGGCTGGCGGAGGCTGTGTAATGACCATTGGAGAAATGCTACGATCTTTTCTCACAAAACTGGAGTGGTTTTCTACCTTGTTTCCAAGAATTCCAGTTCCAGTTCAAAAGAATATTGATCAACAGATTAAAACCCGACCTAGAAAAATTAAGAAAGAAGGGAAGGAAGGCGTTGAGGAAATAGACAGACATGTTGAACGCAGACGTTCAAGGTAATGTCACTCTTGAATTATGTTATTTTTTATGTATGTTTTATGCAAAGTTAATGGTTCTGAGAAATAGCAAGTTATTAGGAATTTGTTTTTACTGTTTATTTTATTAGTTTGTCACTTTTATCCCCTAAAAGTTATTTTCTTCCTTTCAGGGCTTTTTCTGTAAAACTATGCATCTATAAATGAGAACAATCAAATTTTTTGCTTTAATGACTCTTGACATGGACTTAAGCTAGAGAACCTGAATAAATAATGCCATTAAAAGTTTTATTATGAAAAAATTTTTATATGCTTTATTCATTGCAATTTTTTTTTTTTGTCTCTGTCTTCCTTAGGTCTCCAAGGAGATCTCTGAGTCCACGGAGGTCCCCAAGAAGATCAAGAAGTAGAAGTCATCATCGAGAGGGCCATGGGTCTTCTAGTTTTGACAGAGAATTAGAAAGAGAGAAAGAACGCCAGCGACTAGAGCGTGAAGCCAAAGAAAGGGAGAAAGAACGTCGAAGATCCCGAAGTATTGATCGGGGGTTAGAACGCAGGCACAGCAGAAGTAGGGAAAGGCATAGAAGTCGCAGTCGGAGTCGTGATAGGAAAGGGGATAGAAGGGACAGGGATCGGGAAAGAGAGAAAGAAAATGAGAGAGGTAGAAGACGAGATCGTGACTATGATAAGGAAAGAGGAAACGACCGAGAAAAAGAGAGAGAGCGATCAAGAGAAAGGTCCAAGGAACAGAGAAGTAGGGGAGAGGTAGAAGAGAAGAAACATAAAGAAGACAAAGATGATAGGCGGCACAGAGATGACAAAAAAGATTCCAAGAAAGAGAAAAAACACAGTAGAAGCAGAAGCAGAGAAAGGAAACACAGAAGTAGGAGTCGAAGTAGAAACGCAGGGAAACGAAGTAGAAGTAGAAGCAAAGAGAAATCAAGTAAACATAAAAATGAAAGTAAAGAAAAATCAAATAAACGAAGTAGAAGTGGCAGTCAAGGAAGAACTGACAGTCTTGAAAAATCAAAAAAATGGGAACATAGCCCCAGCAAAGAAAAATCTAGAAAGCGTAGTGGAAGCAAAGAACGTTCCCACAAACGAGATCACAGTGATAGTAAGGACCAGTCAGACAAACATGATCGTCGAAGGAGCCAAAGTATAGAACGAGAGAGCCAAGAAAAACAACATAAAAACAAAGAGGAGACTGTGTGAAAATATTTTGTAAAAGTGGATCACATTGAATCCTATAGATGATTAAATCTGCTTTTTTTCCCCCAAGTTGAGGTTGTGCAGTAGTTCGTACTCCTCAAGCTCTCCCTGTAGGCTGCATTTTCATTTCCTCTTTTGTGTAGGGAAGTGCCTTTGTAATTCCATTTATTGCATTGATGTTTTCACCCAGTTGTTAAGTTTGATACATGATGCACAGATTGTTCTTGCATTTTTATTGTTTGTTTTTGAAATGTACAGTCTGTACATATGTCCTGAAATGTTTTAATTCCTTTGGCATGGTTGCCATGTTGGTCAAATTTGTATAAGGCAATAAACTGCCACTAATCTATTTTTGTTTTGTAGGTGTGGGATTATGGTTTGTGTACTGAAGTTAGCATGGCTGTGCTTTTCGTAATAGAATGCTAAAGACTTTGAGAATGGATCTTGGATGTCTGTTATAGGAGAAATATGTGCTGTCAATATACATGAAGGCAGCATTGTAGGATTAACATTCTTGTCCACTGTATATTATCTTGGAAGGCTCTTGTTAATATGTTACACTTAATATTCTCCACAGTTACCCTTAGAGAGAATTTATGAGAAGTTAGTTTCTGATGCAGAGGTTTTTAGGCTGTGATTTCATGAAAAGTCCTTTTAGCATTCTACCTCAAAGGGACACTTAGTATGCCTAAAATTTATTCACTTAGTTTTCCTTTTTTATTTGAAAAAAATACATGACATGTAATCTTTTTTCTTGAATTCTTTCTCAGATTTTGAAGTACTATATTAAAGAAAAAAATTAATGTCTAAAGCCTAGCATTCTTGCAGAACCCTGTACTAACATGTAATTGGGAGAGGGTGGGGCAAATAAGTAGAGAAACAGATTCAAGCCTCAAGCTTCCAAAGCATTTTTATAAATGGAAAATCCTTAAATTATGAAACAGCTTGATATAATATCCTTTTTTAAAAATTCAGAACTTTTTTTATTGATAATGGAGATTGCTGTTGGAGTTTTTAAAGTTAATCTAGAACAGAGGAGTATTAAAAGTAATGCTATGCTGCATTATTTAAGACTATCAGCAAATTATTTGATAGATTGTTCTTATGACTTGTATTCTGATTACAGAGAACCATCATGAGTGTGGAATAAATACTGGATTAAATCCTTTATCCTGGGTCTTGGCTTTTCCCCAATTTGTTAACCTTTTTTTAAATGTATTTTTAGTTTGGAAATTGATGAAACACCAGTAGAGTCACACTTTTTGTACAGGGATGTCTTAGTGGCCAGATGACAAGTGAATTTTAAAGAAATGCATAGACTGGGATTGGGTATGTGATAATAATCCTTATTCTTGATCATGGCAGTTCCCTTTGTCAGTGGTTGTTACATGTGTCATTTGATTAATTTGTTCCATGTCGAAGAAGTTTTTTGAGATACCTTTCACTTAGACAATATGTTAGCATTTTTTTTTTTTAATTTGGAAATGAAGGAAATTCTTTAAGATAACTCATCCAGTTGTTTTTAGAAAAGAAAATAGAGGCCCAAAGTAATGTCAGTGCTAGAGCTAAAACTGAGTGTTCTGACAGTGTAGTGATCCTGCCGCACATTGATGTTTGTTTTATCTCACTGGTTATACTGGCCAACTAATGGGCCCTCAGAAGCCACTTTGCAGAGGTGTTAAATGGAGCAGATGAGGACACTTGCAGGAGTCCTCCATATGTGGGCTTCACATTTGGATCACTCCATTTTAGAAAAATCATTAAATGAAGAAATTCACCTAAAAAGGATATGCTTTTTAAGAAAATTCTGTGGTCTTAAATTGAGCATCAAGTCAATTGGTACTATAGACACCTAGAAATTAGAAAATCGTAAATATGAAAACCACTGGATTTGTCTTGTGTTGAAAATCTATTTTTAGCATACCTAGATTATGGGGCTACTACTATGGATGTGGTTCCACATTAAATGTTTATATGATTGTGTATTTTAAGTAAAATGTGGAAAGCATTTAAATTACTTCAAATGGAGGTGAAAGAACTATTGCCTTGATTGATAGTTTGATGATAGTCACTATACATTTGATTTCTTGTGGGTTTTTGTTTTTGTTTTGAGATGGGGCCTGGCTGTGTCACCCAGACTGGGTACAGTGGCGCAGTCTGTTAACTGCAACCTCCACTTCCCTGGCTCAAGTGATCCTCCCACCTCAGTCTCCCGAGTTACTGGGATCAGAGGTACATGCCACCACACCCAGCTAATTTTTGTATTTTTGGCAGGGGTTGGGGGGGGGTGGTTTTGCCATGTTGCCCAGGCTGGTCTTGAACTCCTGGCCTCAAGTGATCCATCCACCCACCTCAGCCTCCCAAAGTGCTGCGTTTACAGGTGTGAGCCACCACGCCCAGCCCGTAAATGATTTTTAAATAATGTTTGCTTTTGAGGAAAATTATGGTAGGTATGAGAACATGTAAATTATGCTAGTTATTGCTATATATATGCATGATTTATTTGGAGAGTGGCTTCCTAAGAAACTGGGAAACCAAGTGGCTATGAAAGACATCTCACATTTCTTGAAACATGAGAACACTTAGACACAGGGAGGGGAACATCACACACTGGGGCCTGTCAGATGGTAGGAGGCTAGGGGACTGACTGATAGCATTAGGAGAAATACCTGATGTAGATGATGGGTTGATGGGTGCAGCAAACCATGATGGCACGTGTATACCTATGTAACCTGCACGTTCTGCACATGTATCCCAGACCCTAAAGTATAATTAAAAAAAAATATATATATATACAGCTTAATATAACTAGCATCCTCCATCCAGTTTTTGTACTCACTGAAATGATTTCACCTTTCCATGTATTAATATCTTTGCCTGGTTTTTAATGTTCAGTTTGGAATTAAATTCTATATACACGGGGTAGTATACTGTCGATCTTAATTTTTAATATAAAATGTTCATTTTAGGCTAGGCACGGTGGCTCACGCCTGTAATCCCAACACTTTGGAAGGCCAAGACAGGCAGATCACCTGAGTTCAGGAGTTTGAGACCAGCCTGGCCAACATGGTGAAACCCTGTTTCTACTAAAAATACAAAAATTAGCTTGGCGTGGTGGCAGGCGCCTGTAATCCCAGCTACTCGGCAGGCTGAGGCAGGAGAATCGCTTGAACACGGGAGGCGGGGAATTCTTCATTTTAATGTTGCCCAGTTTCTCTCTCACTCTGGGTTAGTTCCTCAGTTCCTCTAAGGCAACAGTTCTTAACTTTTGTGTTCTCGGCCCATTTTTTTTAGGAATCTGCTGAAAGATACAATTCTTGTGTTTAAAAAAAGTACCCATCTGGGTGCAGTGGCTCACGCCTGTAATCCCAGCACTTTGGGGGGGCCAAGGCGGGCAGATCACGAGGTCAGGAGTTCAAGACAAGCCCGGCCAACATGGCGAATGTGTCTCTACTAAAAATACAAAAATTAGGCGGGCGTGGTGGCATGCTCCTGTGGGCCCAGCTACTCGGGAGGCTGAGGCAGGAGAATCGCTTGAACTCAGGAAGCGGAGGTTGCAGTCAGCTGAGATCATGCCACTGCACTCCAGCCTGGGTGACAGCCCAAGACTCTGTCTTAAAAAAAAAAAAAAAAATACGCGGGGATTGGTGGTGGGTGCCTGTAATAGCTACTCAGGAGGCCAAGGCAGGAGAATCGCTTTGAACCTGGGAGGCGGAAGTTGCAGGGAGCTGATATCTCACCACTGCACTCCACCTTGGGCGACAGAGGGACACTATCAAGAAAAAAAGTACCCTAAAATTCATGTGTAGTTTCAAAGGAACTCACGAACTGCCCTAGGACGTTGGTTCTGTTCATTAACTGATATTTTTTAAAGCAATGCTTAGATGTGCAGTATTTGGGAATTAATAGCATGATAAACCAAAAATTTAAGTTCCTAAGAGTACTTAGGCAGTTAGTTCCAAAGGCAGTATTTTGTTTTTTTACTTAAAGATGCAGAGGAAGAAAAATGGCAATGGTATTCACTTAATTCTCTTCCCTAAAAGTTGTCCCTTATGAATATAAAGTTTTTGGTTAGTAGAGACGAGGTCCCACTGCATCTTTCAACTGATGCCAACGTGCAACCTCACTGACTAGTTGACCAATTGTCAGGTGATATTGGCCAACTGGTGGGCGTTGATTCTGGCCCTAGTTTGATTCTATCATGTAAATGCTGAAATCAGCCTTGAATGACTAAATTATAGGACCTCTTAAGTGGAGCTGATTTCATGTGGCAAGAAACACTTCTTGATAGTGTCAGTCTCTGAAATTCCCCCTCCATCATTCCATCCTGTAACGTCCCATAGCACTTTGCAAGTACCTCTGAAATGGCATTTATTGGGACCATTGTCTATCAACATTTGTTATTGTGGGAAACAACGTGCATGACGGCATGAACACAAATGGAGAATGTTAGCATCATGGCTGACTTAAAATCCATTATTTGATTTCTCAGGGCATTGATATTCAAAGGATTTCTATTTACATAATCATGATCCACAATGTATTGTACAGATACATATAGGGGTGTGTGTGTGTGTGTGTTGGGGGGGTGGAGGGTGCCATTTCAGCCTATTGTAAAAAGAGAACTGACCTTACAGCATTTCATGTAAACCCTGAGGTTTTGCCAGTGATTGGAAAAAGAACTACTTATTGCAAAGAAATCCTTACATAAGCTTCCCTGATCTGTAGATACTTAAAGTCCACCAATCTTCAGCTGTTTTCCTTGGCTGATTCTTGTTCTGGCCATTCTGAAGATGAATTATTTCTCTATTTCTTGAGTCAGTGGAATTAGTCACACACATCCCTGCCACTGCCCTCCAACAAATTTCATCAGCTGTGAACCCCTAACATCCAAAATAAACATATAATCTAAGTGAAAACAAACAGTGCTTGCTGAGCTAATGCAAGGGAAGATACCTTGTCTTCTCCTTCCCTCTCATTTAGAAATTTCAAAGTCAGTGTCCTGGATATTCAACTATACCAATAGAGGGAATGTCTTAAATACAGCACTCATCCAGTCAATCAAGGTACTGGTTCAGTGAACATTTCCTGACTGAAGTGTTCCATGAGTTATGCTGAACCTGGTGCAGAGATGGCCAGTGAGTTCTGGATGTGCCAGTTATCTATACATTTTCTAGCTCCACATCCACCTTCTATTTCCCAGCTTTGTGATTCTGGAGCTGGACTCAAACATTTTTCTGTTGCCAGCTGGCATACTCTTAAGCTTGTCAGTGGAAGATGCTGGAGGGAGATGTGTTTTCTCTTTTATTTTTGCTTCTGCATTGTGTAGGGGCTAGTGGCATGTAGAGCACCCAGTGATACATATCCCCCAGCAAATTTCCGTGGCATCTCATTGAAAGAAGTGGGAGTTCCCCGCAAGTCCACTAGTTCCCCTGCCAGCTTCCTAGCAAGTTTGCTAGTGCTCCAGCAGGCAGTTGCCCAGGAGTTTCAGCAGGACCCCACAGGTTTCCCAGTAAGTCTCAGTGGCACCCCAGTGGTGGTGTCCTAGCTAGTTTTGTTGACACCCTCCACTCTCCAGCCCCCACCTTCAGCATCTCAGCATTTGCTGAGAAGCTACAACTGCACCCTCCAACAAGGTCTGAACCTCAGTCTTGCAAAGGAACGTCTCCCAAACGTTTTTCTTTTTGGTTTTGGTTTTGTTTGTTTGTTTTTTGATGGTTATTGTTGTTTTAGACAGAGACTTGCTCTGTCACCCAGGCTGGAGTGCAGTGGCACAATCATATCTCGCTGCAGACTCAACTAAGGCTCAAGCCATCCTCCCACTTCAGCCAGGAAGGACTATGGGCAGGTGCCACTACAACTGGCCGATTTTTTTTTTTCATAGGGATGGGGTCTTACTGTGTTTCCCAAGCTGGTCTTGAACTCCTGGCCTCAAGCAATCCTCCCTCCTTGGCCTCCCGAAGTGCTGAGATTATAGGTGTGAGCCTGGCCACTTCTCCCAAATCTGTTCTTTTCTTGGATCCTCTGCCTCATCACTAGAGGTAATGGCTGCCCCCTGCATCCACTATTACTGTATTTTTTAAGAGTTCTCTTTACCTTTAATAATTAATCCCGTTACTAGTTAATAATTCTTTATATCAAACTTTCCCTCTTGGAATTATTTTCTGTTT